GGGAGGCCAAGCCAGGAAGATCATAAATTCAAACCCAGCCTGAGAAATTTAGTAACTTGAAGACTGCCTGTCTCAAAATAAAATTTTAAAAAAACTTTTTGAAAAAAGGCTGAAAAAGTAATATGAAGTCCTTGAGTTTAATACTCAGTACCTTTTTATTTTTCCAAATGCTGACATGACTATAAGAAGCCAGAAAACTTTTCCAAGGATGGGCTTCTGCTGACACTGATTCCTGCAGGCGCTGCAGGGGTGGAGCTGATGACTCTGTCAGAAATGACCACTGGGAAAAGGAAAACCCCTGACCCTTAGTCTGTTATTTATTAAATGCATGATTTGTGTTCTACAATAGTCTGGACCTTTAAAAGGTGGGGGGTTTTTTTGCTAAAAAGCAATAGTGAAGAATACCGTGACTGTTCAGTTGGGCCTACAGGTGTCCAATGGTAACTGAAAGTAGTGTAGAACTTGGCCTTCATTTTGTATTCTTATTACTTTAAACCTTAGACACAGGTGCAGCACCAGACAGGATCCAAGGAGGGCCTCCAAGCAGAGATGGGAACCTTGACTCACACAATCCATGAAATAGGTTATAAATTCACTACCTTCCACTGCAGAAAAAGAACTTTCTGGGGATAGGTCAGTAAGAGACATAAAGGAATTTATTAGGCAGAATTTTAAAAGCACACACTCAAAGAAATAGAGTGGGAGCCCTTAAGAGAGAGGCACATTATCTTCTGGAACTGGGAACATTTATGTTAAGCAGTATCCTGAGGACATGAAAACCTATGAAAAAGATGGCCCATCCCTGGAAAGGGTAATAGCCTTTTTTACAGGATGTGAAAGGTCTGAGTCTATTGTGGTTTTTGTTTTCAGATGGATAATTCAAGCATCCTTTGAATTTTGTCAGTCTATTCCTTTAAAATCAACGTTTTACTCTTTACTTTCTCAGTGAAATTAACTTTCAGACTTAGAGTATCCTTAAGGAATTTGAGTCGTCCTAGGTCTGGCAGGACAGGAACATAGATTAACCTAGGGAATGTGGATACAGATAGATTAACCTAGGGAATGGAGATGCAGATAACTTTGACTGTGTCTGAGAAATCATAGTCTTTTTAGAAATAAAATTTTAAATTATTATTTTCCTGACCCCTTTGCTACCTTTCTTCTGTTCTATCTCAGATATGCTACTAATTGGCAAGACAATAGTTGTTAGCTAGCCCTAAATTTACCTAGTTACCACCTCATTGTCCTTCAAGATCAGCGCTCATCAGGACACCACTCACATCATTTTCAGGATTCTCAGGGACATCTGATTACCACAGGATCCCTAGAGCAACTCTTGGAGCTGTTGGCCTAAATTTGGGTCCCAGGAAAAGCAGAGCTTCACGTGGCTCAAACAGCCACAGAGACCATCATTTTTTGAGGCAATTGCTTTTATGGAAACTGAATCTCACCACTCAAGCTGTGAGGAATCCTGCAAAGCTAAGAAACTAGCGCTGAGATAGTGATCAGCCACGCCTCAGCCCACCACCCATATAGCTGGTCTCTGTCCTTTTGTGAACAGGCCAGTCTGATCCTCCTCTCCAGACCTGCTCCCCTTTCAGCTCCTCTGGCTGAAGCCCTTTCCCTATCTTATCTGACTGTCCTTGCTTGAGAGATGGACTTGACCTTGGTCAGAGCTCTACTCCCCTTCATTTTCTCTGTCCAAAAGCTTTTGCCTGTAAGTTCATACTGTAACTATTACTAAAGTAAGGAGATGCAATAGCTGGTGACACTGGGAAGGACTGATAGAATTTTTGGCGTGGAAGGGAACCATCTAATAGGATTTTTGGCACAGCTGAAAAGATAACAAGTATGAAATAAAAGAGACCTTTACTTTAAGAATGTAGGGAGAGACCCCATGACTCTCCAGGGTCTGGCATTCTCTCCACCAGACACGTGGTGTGGGGGCATACATGTAGTTTAGTTTTGGGGTGGTGCCTAAGGGGCATTACTGATGCACAGGTAGCCCATTGGTATTCATTTTGTGCCACAGGTAAATTCCTAGGGGTGGGAAAGATGACCTCAAGATAGAGCCCCTTGGTTCCGCCTCCCAGCTTTTCACCAGCTATAGTGTCCCATCTGGGGCAAAAACCTTTCAAGGACCAAGGTAGAGCCAGGCTCTATCTCCTTTCTGGCTTCTGAGACCCTGGGCTGGGTCAAAAGAGGGATTTAGGGCCTCTCAAGGGGTGATCACCAGGTAGGGAGGGTCTTTGCTTTAGTGATAATGGAAACTAAAAGGAACATGACTGCATGACTGCACAGACAAAAGCTTTAACTGAAAGATAAGAGAAGACTGTAGCTTGGGTAACTGGAAGGATTGCACATCTGATGAAAAGGATCAGACTGGCCTGTTCATAAAAGAAAGGAAACCAATTTTGTGGGGTGTTATGGTGTGTTGGGGTCCAGTCTATCATTATTTCAAGCCTGGTTTCATAGCCCAGGCTGAATCCCTGTGACTTGAGAAGCAGTTTGATTGCTATGAATCCTCATGTCTTGACGAGAAATTTCAGTTATGTGAGGCTGCTGGGATCCAAGGCGACCCTAGGTTTGGGGCAATGGAGATTCTCAATATAGCAGGATGTTTCTATAAATCTCTTACCTAGGCGTCCTCAGTCTTGAAGAAAGATGAAGTAGTTCAGGTAAATTTAGGACTAACTTTGCTTTACCAACTCTTAGATAAACACTTCTGAAACCATTAACATGCCTGTATGTGAGAAACTGAGAAGGATTTGACTTGTTTACAAGTGAAGGTCAAGATTTGTTCTACTTTTAGTTTCCTATTAGGCAGCAATAGACTCAAGCGAAGTTATTTTTTTAAACAAAAACTACTGTTAAATCCCTATCTGCCTCAGAACAGAACACAAATTGTCCTTTTGATGAGTAACAGGTGAAGGGCCCTAGAGTTTGTTCTTTCTCCCTATGGTGGCTTTTGTGTCATGACTTAGGGCATGAATTGGGGCACCTGTTCCTGTCATGGCAGGATGGGAAGTCCCTCAAGGATACCCAGACATCTTCTATCCTCATCATCCCCCCCACACCCATCTCTGAGCCCTCAGGCAACATCTCTGTCCAGCCTCACAGAGACCCACACCTGCAGCTTCTGGGACAAACAGGAGACACATGAAATAGATAAGGCAGGGGATTAATCCCCTCCAAGGTGCTGGGCAAGGGGCAACCAGGCTGCCAGGGGTGAGAGGACAAGCCCCTGTGACACTGTTGGGTAGAGAAAGTCTGGGCCCTGTGAGGGGTCCCCTTTACATGGCAGAACAAGAATTGAGTCCCTGGGGGCCCCAGGACTAGGAATGGAGCTCTGGGAGAAAAAAAGCCTGGAAAACACCCAAAGCTTCCCAGAAGATGACTGACAACACAGATGTGTCCTGGTCACCCAGATCAATCATAGGTTACTGACAGCCAGCTGTCTTGTCAGCTGTGCTGCTTGCCTGAAAAACTTAAAGCCTGGATGCTGAAGCCAAAGATTCACCACAGATGTCAGTTACAGAAATACCACAGACCCACAAGCACTGGCTCATTAGACCTGGCTCTGGAGCCATATTCACACTCCTGACAACCTTGGGCTCATTGTAGTCTCTTTATAATGATTTTTAAGACACATTTACCAGCACCAGGACAGATCTGGCCATGCCCAAATTAGGGAAGAAACAAAGCAGCACCTGATCCCTGGAAACCCTTCCGTAAGAAGGCATGGAGAGAGCAAGCACCACACCCGGTTGGTATCCTCAGGCACCTTGAACCTGCTGTGAATGTACCACTGGGGGGGGGGGCATTCCCTTGCTCAGGTGTCACCTATCCCTATGGCCAGGCCCTGTCTATAGATGAAATGGATAAAACAGCCAAAAAGTAGGAGTTAAAGCAGATGCTAGCTGGGTGTTGTGGACCATATGCAGATATTTTTCCAAAGCCTCATGCACTCATAGATGGAGTTTAAGGAGGTGACTAGATGTGATACTGGATTACTCCACAACAAAGTACTTTTCAGTCTTTAAGCTTTAACTTGACCCTCAGTAAGAAACACATATATATGACAATCAGAGCACATGCAGACACACACACCAAAGAGGTGTTTTACGTTTGTATCTGCCCCAAGTTTGCAAAGTGCTGATCACCCATACTTCCTGTAACAAGCTAACACTCACCCTTCTGTTTTATTCGAGAGCATGTTGTATTCATTAAAGGCTTACAAAAGACACAAGAAAAACACTCCTGAGTTTTTAAAACATTTCATTTGGAAATTACTATCCTTTCACTGGAACCTACAAAGACAATTCAGCAAATTCCCCATGCCTTACTTCTGCCCCCCAGCAATGACAGATGATGTTGACACCTGCCCTTTGGCACCGCTGTGTGACCAAAGTGGACCCACATGTATCAGGGAGTCACATTACCATCAGAATGGAAACCCCAGGGCAGCACCCCAGCACTTGCACCCCCAGCTCCCTGTGGTCACAGCTGCCCACTTCCTTACACTGCTAATCCGGGCAATGTCTACACAGTTCTCAGGTGGACCACGTGGTGTTCCTGGATTGGAGTCATACAGAGAGTGGTGTCTGTGGTGGTATTTAACTCTATTTACTCGCAGGTCTTTTGATTGAGCACACAAAAAAATATAAGATACCCAGCTAAATCTGAATGTCAGAGAAATAATAAGTAACTGTTTTTACTAATATAAGGGACACAGTCATGCTAAATATTTACTTACTGTTTACCAGAATAAATCCCCCAGTTGGAGTGACCAAATCCAAAGAGACAGAACAGTGTCTGGACAGTGGCTGTCCCCAGTGCGACAGCACAAGGATGAGAAGTCAGGACATGTCACAGGACTATAACTATAACTATAATGTCTGAGCCAGCTCTGAGCCTAGGCAGTGAGTGGCACTCACCTCCAGGGGACATTAGACCAGCAGGCTTACAAAGGCTTACAAAAGACACAAGAAAAACACTCCTGAGTTTTTAAAACATTTCATTTTATAATTATTTTGGCCTGCCCACCACTGAGACGACCTCCCAATTGATCCTCCCCTGTCCCTGTTCCCCCAGCCCCAAAAATGCTCATAGATTTGTTGGGACCATTCTGTGCCACAAGCATCATCCCTAAGGGGACCCCTCTCTCCTACCAGCAAGAGGTACCTCACCCCAAGCTGGACTAGCATTGAGCCCCAGCCAGAGGACAAACATGACAGGTGTGGGAAAACTCAACCTGATCCCAATGGTGACTCTACTGGGCCACCCATGGTTGGCTACTCATGGTCCAGGGATATTCTCTGCACACCAGGGTGCTGGCCAGAGTGTTGCAAGGACCTTGGCAGGGACAGATGACAAAGAAAAACTAAGCCCTGGTATTGGTGAGCAGAAGGGATTATTAACTTCAGAGGGAGGAGCAGCCCTCAGAGGGAGGACAGCACTGCCCCAGGGAAGTAGTTGTAGGATGGAGCCTTGGAATCCAGCCCCACATCTCCCTGGGACCCCAAGGTCCAGAGTAGCAAGCAGCAGAGCTTAGACTGAGGGAGGCTATGAATAAGCTGGCCTGGTAGGGAAGGTGGGTCTTAAGGCTATTAGCACAGAGACAAACTGAAGTCACACATGTGCCCTATTTGTCTAGGAGACTCACAGGGTCAAAGCCAGCCTCCCACCCTGAACTCAGGGCTAAAAACCTCTCAGAATTCTTACAATTGATTACTAGTGTTCCCAAAGGAGAAGCATGGACCACCTGGAAGAAAAGAGGGCCGAAAAACAGAAAGGACCAGAGAAGCCCTCACAGCAGGTCCCAGAAGAAGGCCAACCCCAGGCTGAACAGGACCCCCCCCAACAGGGTCCAGGCATTGCCCCCCACCAGTATTCCAGCGTTGCAGAGGTTCCTGTTGCAACACATTATTTTGACTGTGGTGTGGAAGCCACTGAATGTCGATCTGAAGTCAGTGTCCTTGGGGCAGTCAGGAAAGCACAACTTATCTTCCCTTTTCACAATCTTAGAACCTGTAAGAACATAGTATGACCTTAGGGCCCTGTGCGAGGACTGCCCAGACAGCTCAGCGCCCCATCATTTGGGGCTTTGGCTACCAGGTCCAGATGGCCAGGGAGAGGCTGCCTGCACCCTCTAACAAACAATGAGGCACAGAGTCCCTCTGTGGCTGTGTGGAGGTAGGCTGTGCTGGGGATGGGGCTCCACCTGCCCTGTCACTCTAGAGGACATGGCTAGGATAGGAGAGATGCAATTCGGGGAACTGGAAATGTCCCGGCTCTACTCTCCACCCTCCCGAGGCCTGGCATATACTCCACAACTCCTCTGGCTTGCAATCTGCCTCTAAGTCCCTCCATCAGATGAACTCACAGAATGCTCACAGCCCACCCTTGCCTCAAGCTGGAAGGCTCCTTGGCATTCGATGTGGGCAAGTTAGAAAGAACTGCAGGCTGCAATGGGTACCATAAAGACCTCCTGGAAGAGAGGGCCCTGCTGGGGTGCTAGGAAGAGAGCAAGAAAGGCCATGTGACTGACCCTAGAGGCCCTGCCCCTGGTCCCAGAGTACTGGGCAGGTTGAAGGATGGTCCTTAGTCCACAAAGAGCTATTCCTCAAGAGACATCTCCTCCTTGTCACCACACACTCTGGAACTCACCCAATGTGAAGCTTTGTTCTTGACTGACGCAGACCTCCTTCCCTCCAGGGAAGGAGCACATGACCTGATCACAGAATTTCCCACTGGTGTAATTCAGGCAACGGTAGCAGTGCAGACCCTGGACTGGGGAAAAGACAGGCCTATGATGCCCGAGAGGTGCCTCCCTTCTGAGCTCTCAAGGGGGTCTGCAGCCCATAGCACCCACCCTGCACTGTTCTGAAGTGACTGAGACTGGCAGGACAGAGCAAGGAGGCCCCTGATGAAGCTGTCCAAATGCAGAGGGCTCTCCCAGGCTTAACCCACCCAGTTCAAGGCACCTGCTGGTGACCTCCAAATCACAGAGGAAGGACTCAGACCCCAGAGAGTCAAGCTACTGGGCTGTCCAGTCACCACAGCTTTGTTGAATAAGTGGATGAATGAATGTATGCTGGGGCCCTAGAGAGGGCTCTCTGCCTAGCTCTGGGCTCTGTCCCCATTGCTGGCCCTAGGGTCAGTTCAAGTCCTTTTCTATCTCCTCCCATTTCTATGTCTTTTAGCAACACCTCTAACTGCACCTGGGGACCACACCAAGCCACCACAATGGAGCTGCAGCAGAGTGGAGGTCAGTTGCACCTGAGAGCCCTGGTGGTACTGGACAGTTTCCGCATTTGTATCTTCAAGTGATGAGGGAGGTCAAGATGAGTGCCCGCTGTGTGCTGTGGGGCACATGGGGCTGGGCAGGCAAAGCAGGATGGGAAGCCTGTGCTGGCCCACAGGCCTCAGGACAGGGTGGAGCTGGGGAGCCTAGAGGCTAACATGGTGACCAGGCCACAAGGAAGAGGAGGCCCCAGGAGACAGGAGGCCACCGTGTCTGCCATGTAGACTCCACAGAGGAAGGACATGTCTAGAGGCTGGGGTGGAAGCCAGTGAGGGAGGGAGAGGTCTGAAGCCCTGGGGCTAGGGCTGATCACTAGGAGCTGGAGGAAGCAGGGCAGGCTCAGTGTGCTGCCCTGCCCTGGGGCAGATAAACACTGCCCAAGCCATCTTAAAGTATATCTGTCTCCATTCTGCCCAGCTCAGCAGATCCACACTGGCTCACACATCTACCCAAGCCTCACAGCCTCAGGACCTCACAACACAGGACCTGAGGCCCTCAAACCCATCTGCCTTATTCCCGATGCACTGCCACCAGACACGTGTTCCCAAAGCCCAGGCAGGAGCACATGACTCAGCACAGAAGCACACAGGGCAGGAACAGGATCCCAGCAGGCCAACACCCACCCCACCAGCGACAACCTGGGATACCAGGAACACCCTAGAAAAAGCAGTATCCCTGGAATTCCCTCTGGTTCCCTCACCTGTCTCTGCACACAGCAGGGCCACCAGCAGCACCAGGGCAGCGGGCTTCATGACCTGGGGACCGTTCATCCTAGGGTGAGAGATATGCAGGAAAACTTCTGCAGACTGGAGCAGCCACCCTGCCCTACTCCCACGGCAGATGTCCCAGACAGGGTCAGGAAATGCTGGACATTGGATTCTTCGTCTCTCATCTTCCATACAGTTCTGAGGGGAGCTCCATCTCCTTCTCCTACCCCAATCCTCACCACCCCTTTCGCATCTTGGCCCTGAAAGTCCCACCCAGAGCAGTAAGCCCCTCTCAGTCCTGAGTTCTTCTCCTCAACCTACCACCCAGCAGCCCCTGTCCTGACCCACCTCTCCTCCTGTCTTCTCTCTGGCAACAAGTAACTAAAAATCAGCTCAGCCAAGAATCAGGGCTGAGGCAGGGAATATCTTGACCTCAACCCACGCAACAGGGGAGGGTTTTCTGTTCTCAGAGATTTACTGCACGTCCTCTGGCCTTTGAACAAGAACTGGCTGTGTCCCATGATTTATGCTCCAGAGGATGAACACACTGGCCACAAGTGATCACACAGGCCTGCCCTACCCTTTCCACAGGTGTGCTGAGCACCTGGAGGCCCAGACATGTGAGGCAACCTGTACAATGGGTGGGTGGGCCAGATCCACTGTCTGCTCACCACCCTACCCACTGTCTGCTCTGCTCATCCCTCCATTTCTAGCATGTGGCTGTGGCTTGGCATGTCAGTACTACCAACCTTTCCTGTTCAGGCAAGGGAACTGGTGGGAGGGATCCTGAGTAGGACCTCATCGTGAAGCACAGCCTCAGGTGAGAGACCCCCACAGAAAGTCCTGAACAAAAGTAACTCTGCCCCACCCTGGGGATGTCATAATTGGGCTAGGGGGTATCACTGGCATCTTGTGCAAAACTAGGGATGCCGGCTCCTGTCCACAGTGCCATCCCAATGGGGCCGCCTCGCCCCACAGGAAGGCAACTCTGGGTTGATGGGTGAATCATGATGTGAGGATGCTTTGCTCTTCTTTGCAGCCAAGTAAAGCTGTGCTGAGTTAAGCCAAAGATTTGAAAGCAGCATGACCACAGCCCTGTGAGGGTCAGGGCGTCCCACAAGGAAACACAAGTTTCCCTAACTCTCATGTCACTATATATGGCTTGGTATTCAAATTAATTAAAAGTCCAGTTCTTATCTGTCAACTAGCATCTATGGCCAGGTCCTGGGACAAGCACCAGGGGCTCTGCAGTAAACCAGGTGTTAGAGTTCCCACCTCGAGAAACCTATAGTCCAGGCTGCTCCCATCCAAGTGCCTGTCACTGATGGCAAGCAAGGGATGGATGGCTGGGTGGTGACGATCCGAGCTGGGACACTTCTCTGAGGCCCCCTGAAGTCACCTGAGGTCGGGGGAGGAACGTGCACATCCAGTGAGCCATTTGCTCCTAACAAGGCACAAAGACATGTCAAAGCCAGCATGCCTGTGTCCCCCACCTGACTCTCCAAAAGAAAGGAGGGAGGAATTAGAGGACACTGGGCTCAGAGGGCTCACAATGTCCCTCCTGGTAAAAGCCAAAGGGTAGGGATGAGGTTTCTTTTTTTGCTGGAAATAACCCAGCTATTCCTGCTAGTTTGTGCATTCACACCTGGAGCTCGAGGGCTCCAGTGTGTGGTCAGTGTCCAGTCCTTGTCCTTAGACGCAGAGCAGACACTCCCAGTTACCTGCAGGATGAACTGACCTGACTCACCACCAACTGCTGTTCCAAACCAGGTGGTGGAAGGGAACAGGAGGAAAGGAGAAAGAAGCCCTGTTGAACTCACATACCCAAATTTGTCCACATGTCAACTCACACACCGTGCTGTCCAGCTGAATATATGTAAGTGGAAGAGGGGGAGCCACACACGTCTACCCCTCTGTATCAGGGATCTACAGTCACAGGTTCAGGCTGATGCCTCTGTTCTCACCCAGCACCCTGCATTCACTCTGCCCTGGCTCCTTTGCTTATTGGCTTCCCTCTCCAACAGTGAAATGTGACGCACTGTTCACAGTGTGTGCAGCTTGTAATTCAGTTCTCAAACTGAGAGAGCTTTGGAATGGCTAATCCTCACTTCTGGGAAAACAGAACATACTGAGCAGGATTCAGTGTTTGCCCCACACGCTGTCTGCCTCTCACACAGGGGTGGCCATACAAACTATGTCAAAACCACTGGGGTTAAATTTTCTCCTCTGCTGTGTCGCTGGCTCTGTTATTCATTGAAAAAATGAATCTTATTTATTGGTTTTTCCTTTCCCACCATCTGTAATAACTTTCTTTCTTTCTTTCTTTCTTTCTTTCTTTCTTTCTCTCTTTCTCTTTCTTTCCTTCTTTCTTTCTTTCTTTCCTTCTTTCTTTTTCATCCTTTCATTTCCACTCAGTGGCTACCGAAGTCAGAACTGTACAGAAGGTGCACTGGGATGGAGGACGTTCTCTCCTGGTTTCTGTCCCTCCACCCCACCTGCACTTCCTGCCCTGCCTGCCTGTGGCCCCCACCAAAGCTGCAATTCTCTGTGTTGTCTTCATGCTTTTGTTTTCTCAAAACTGAGTGGAGACCCCCCCTACTTTCTTATTGCCTCTTTTCTCCCACAGCTGACTGCTGTAGGTAGCTGCTGCTGTCGATGTCCCAACAGTCTATTGGAAACAAACAGGTAGGTTGTTCCAGGTTTGACTCTCATGAATAACACAGCTCTAACATGCAGAGGCCTTTCTCTGGGGGACTCAGTTCTCAGAGTGTATAATGGGTAATAGAATTTCTGAGTCGTGTTCCGGTAAAGATGGCGGATAGATAAGAGTAGATCACAGAAGCTCCCTGAGATAGTCAACTTAGATGCCAAAATAATACAACATGGGGAGTCCCAGACAAAGGGAGATGGATCCTTTTGACCCAGGAAGAAACTAAGGTGAGAAGAACCAATCAAACAGGCAGTCCCAGTGCTACTATTGGAACAGCTAAAGGTTCAGTGCTCCCACTGCAGTGCCCAAACTCACACAGCCACAGCTTACCAAGCTGCCCAAACTCCTGCAATTTCGACTCACTGGAGCCTTGGTCATGAGGTGAGGGGTCAGTGGGCCCAGTGGAGATCTGGATTGGTAGGGGGCCTGCATCAACCTGCGTTGAGTGCTGGGAGTGGAGCCTTCCACAAAAAAGGTGCACCAACAGGACAATATGTGGGAAATGGAGAGGACTGGCAAGAACAAGGAACAGCAGTGACTTAAGTCAGTTGTTTCCTTCCCAGACAGGATTGGTGGGGTGTGCTTGGCCTGGGTCACTCCCCTGGCTGACACCCAATAAGCCATCCCAAACCAATTCCCTATGCCCATGGCACATGCTAACGCAGTGAAGGCCTCAGTGGGTTAACTGACCCGGAGGAGAGGGGCCAGCATTTGCCACCCTGTTTGCATCACAATAGCACACTGGAAGGGGCAGGACCATCTAGCCAATGCTCTTCAGAAGAACTGTAGCCAACAAAGAAAGAGTCTGGGGTCTCCCCTATATGCCTGTATGGAAGAAACAAAAAATGTGAGAAGAGGAAGCAACAAGAAAAAGTCCCCAGCCCCCAATCCTGAGAACATTGATCCAGGAGAGGTAAATACAAAGGAGACTGAAGACAGCAGGCATGCAATATCAGACATGCCACCAGTGGACATAAAGAGATATCTTCGGGACCTCATAGACCAGTTCAAAAGTGAAATATTTAACCAAGTAAAGCAAGATATAAATAGATTAATAAAAGAAATTCTAAGCACCTCTCAAGAAGACACAGATGGAAGAATGGAGGAACACAAAAAAAGGAGAGAATCATTTGATGAAGAATATAAAGAAAACATAGAATACATGAAGCAGGTTCAAAGAGATTACCAGGAAATTAAAAACTTCATTGAAAGCTGGCAGAACTGCTTGAAAGACACTAAGGATAGATTATCCAAACTGGAGGACAGGTTTGCAATATGGAATCATAAAAGGAAAAATTTCTTAAAGATAACAATGAAACAAGCAGTAATGATACAAATGCTAGAAGATGACAATAGGATCTATAACTTAAGAATAAAGAATGTGAATGAAGAAGCAGGGGTACAAACAAAGGAACTACAAAGGTTATTCACAGAAATAATTAAGGAAAACCTCCCAAACATAGGAAAAGGAAATGATATTCAGAGGTATGAGGCATACAGAACTCCAGCTACCTACAAGCAAAACAGAGCTACACCCAGGCATACAATAATCAATATAAGAACAGAATATTAAAAGCTATCAGAGACAAGAAACAGATTACTTATAAAGGAAGACCCATCAAAATTACAGCAGACCTCTTGACACAGACCATCAAAGCAAGAAGAGCTTGGAGTAAAGTATTCTAAGCCCTGAAAGAAAATAACCTCCAGCCCAGATTGACATACCCTGAAAAACTGTCTCTAGAAATTAATGGAGAAGGGAGAGCACCGCCACCGCAGCTGCCGTCTGGAGGAGGGAGCAGAGCTGCGGAGGAGGTTTGGGGCTTGTCTAGGCTGCACAGGTGATCTTCTTTCAGCCCGGGGAGTTTTGCCACCTGAGGTGGATGCGTGTACAACATCCGATCCCCAGGAGAGTTTAAGATTCTTGTTCTGGGTGGTTGGGGACCTGCCCGGCTTGCAGCCACCCTAGATTGGGCTTGGCAGGATTCAGGCCTGCCTGGACTGTACCTGGTGGCCTTCTTTGGGTCCAGGGAGCTTTGCTGCCAGAGAGGGGAGCTGTGTGGCCTGAGGAGGGTGTAGGCCTGCCTGAGCCTCGCATGGTAAGCTTCTTTTAATCTGGGGGCCTCACTACCAAAGGAGGGAGCTACTCTACCAGAGGAGTCCCAGGAGCCCAGACAGTTAGCAGACAATGTCCAACACAGCCCAGGGGAACCTTTGGAACAACACTTGAAACATGGAAATATACAAAAATGACAAAACGAAAGATTAAAATGCAATCTCAAACATCCTGCCCATTCCAAGAAAGCTTGGGAGCCATGTACATAGAAGAGAAAAAATGCCATATGCCTGAAATATCTGAAATAATAGTAACTGAAATAAAGAAACAACTCCAGGAAGCTCCACACTAGAAACAATCTCCCAGGCAAAAGAAGAAATGATAAAAATAATGAAAGAGATGCTGAACATATCTAAAGAAGACACAGTTAAAAAATTAGAGGAACAAAACAAAAAGATAGAGTCCCTGGATGAACTATATAAGAAAGAAACAGAATACATAAAGCAGATGCAAAGAGATATACAGGAAATAAAAAAATCCATTAAAAGTTGTCAAAACTGCCTCAAGGAAAGTGAAGATAGAAATTCAGATCTCGAAGACAAGATTTCAGCTAGTGAACAGAAAAGGAAAGATCTCTTAAAAATAAGAAGGAATCAGGAAATAACAATCCAACAGCCACAAGAAGACTCAAAGAAAAACAACATAAGATTGATAGAGATAAATGAAAAAGAAAAGGACAGGACAAATGATATCAAGAGACAATTTAGAGAAGTAATAGCTGTAAATTTCCCAAACATGAGAATGGAAACTAACATTAGGATTAGTGAAGCATATAGAACTCCAAATAGTCATAACCAAAATAAAAGTACACCCAGACATATAATAATCACCATCCCAGAAATTCAACATAACAATAGAATATTAAAAGCTGTTAGACAGAAGAGACAGATCACCTATAAAGGAAAGCTTATCAGAATCAAACAGACTTCTCAACACAAACAATAAAGTCAAAAAGAACATGGAGCAAAGTATTTCAGATCCTAAAGGAAAATGATTTCCAACATAGACTGATGTACCCTGAAAAACTGTCCTTCAAAATGGATGGAGAAATAAGACACTTCCATGATGAAGAACAGCTGAAGAACTTCATGATCACCAAGCCAACCCTGCAAAGAATACTGAAACACAGTTTAGATACACTTAAAAAAAACCACTAAACAAGGCAGACAAACAGAATGGAAAGATAAAAATGCAACAGCAAAAACATAACATGTCAACAATAAACCAGCATTTAACAGTAATAACCATTAATGTAAATGGTCTCAATGCACCAATTAAAAGAAACAGACTGGCAGAATGGATCAAGAAACAACATCCAACCATATGCTGTCTACAGGAAACCCATCTAACCCAAAAGGATACTCACAGACTGAAAGTCAAAGGATAGAAAATAATACTACATGCAACAGGAACCCAAGAAAAGCAGGGGTAGCTATTCTGTTTGCAGACAATGTGAACTTCAAACCAAGAATGATCCTAAGAGATAAAGAAGGTCACTACACACTGGTTAGGGGAAAACTTAAAGAGGAAGAGATAACTATCTTAACTATATATGCACCCAATGCCAGAGCACCTAGTTATACAAAGCAAGTATTAATAGAAATTAAAAATAAACAATAACACAATTATAACAGGAGACCTTAACACACCATTGACACCAAAGGACAAATCAACCAGACAGAAAATCAGCAAAGAAATAACAGAACTGAATCACAACTGTGAATTAATAGACTTGACAAACATATACACAGTGTTCCATCCAACAACATCAGAATATACATTCTTTTCAGTGGTACATGGGACATTCTCTAAAATAGACATACTAACCCACAGAACATATTTAAATAAATGCAAAAGAGTTGAAATTATCCCATACATGTTGTCAGATCATAGCACCATGAAACTAGAAATTAATGATAAAAGAAACTAGAAAACCCCCACAAACACATGGAAATTGAATAATACACTCGAGCAATCAGTGAGTCACAGGGGAAATTAAAGAAGAAATTAAACAATACCTACAAGCAAATGAAAACACAAATACAACTTACCAGAATCTGTGGAATGCAATGTAAGCCGTCCTCAGAGGAAAATTTATTTGCATGGAGTTCCCACATCAGGAAAACAGAATGAATACAAATAAATAACCTGATGCTACACCTCAAACATCTAGAAAAAGAAGAGCAAGTTAAGCCCAAAACCAAAAGAAGGGAGGAAATTATAAAAATCAGAGCAGAAATTAATGCAATAGAGACTAACAATCCAAAGAATCAATGTATCAAAGAGTTGGTACCTTGAAAGAATAAATAAAATTGATAAGCCCCTATCCAACCTAATTTTAAAAAGGAAAGAAAAATCTCAAATTCATGTAATAAGGAACAAAAAGGGCAAAATCACTGTAGAATCAATGGAAATACAGAAGATCATCAACACTTATTTCAAAAACCTCTACTCTCGTAGGTTGGATAACACAGAAGAAATGGACAGATTCCTAGAAATATATGAAGTACCAAAGCTGGGTCAGGAAGATGTAAAAGTGCTGAATAACCCAATTTCTACTAATGAAATTGAAAATGTAATTAAGACCTTACCCACAAAGAAGAGCCCAGGTCCAGATGGATTCACTGCAGAATTCTACAAGAAATACAAAGAAGACATAATGCAAACATTCCTCAAACTCTTCAATGAAATTGAAAGGGAAGCAATTCTTCCTAAGTCATTCTTGGAAGCAAATATTACTCTACTACCAAAACCTGAGAAAGACCCAACTAAAGAGAACTACAGGCCAATCTCCCTAATGAACACAGATGCAAAAATCCTCAATAACGGCAAATAGGATGCAGCAAATCATCAAGAAGATTATACACCACGACCAAGTGGGAGTCATCCCAGGCATGCAAGGATGGTTCAACATACATAAATCAATAAATGTAATCCACCATATCAATAAAGCCAAAAGTATGAATCACATGATCATTTCTATAGATGCAGAAAAAGCTTTTGATAAGCTCCAAAACTCATTCATGCTAAGAACCTTACAGAAAATTGAAACACCTCCCCTCCCTGCAAGCGGAGGCAGGGTGGCAGCCTGCAGCCCTTCCAGGGGGAGAACTAGCAGTGTCTCCTGAGATCCACACCATGCTGGAACTTAGGACTCTGGGAAGCCAAGCCAGCACCTCCCCACCCTGCAAGCGGAGGCAGG